GGTATAGTGTTATGTTATGGTAGGTAGTGTTATGGTAGGTGAGTGTTGGTGTTAAGTGGGTAGGTAGTGTTATGGTAGGTAGTGTTATGTTATGGTAGGTAGTGTTATGGTAGGTAGTGTTATGTTATGGTAGGGGTAGTGTTATGTTATGGTAGGTAGTGTTATGTTACAGTAGGCAGTGTTATGGTAGGTAGTATATGTTATGGGTAGGTAGTGTTATGGTAGGTGGTGTTGTTATGGTAGTGTTATGGTAGGTAGTGTTATGTTATGGTAGGTAGTGTTATGTTATGGTAGGTAGTGTTTAAGGTAGTGTTATGTTATGGTAGGTAGTGTTATGTTATGGTAGGTAGTGTTATGTTATGGTAGGTAGTGTTATGGTAGGTAGTGTTAAGTGTTATGTATATGTTATGGTAGGTAGTGTTATGGTAGGGGTAGTGTTATGTTATGGTAGGTAGTGTTATGGTAGGTAGTTGTTATGTTATGGTAGGTAGTGTTATGTTGTGGTAGGTGTGTTATGTTTGGTGGTAGTTTGGGTAGTGTTGTGTTATGGTAGTAGTGTTATGGTAGGTAGTGTTATGTTATGGTAGGTAGTGTTATGTTATGTGTAGGTAGTGTTGTGTTATGGTAGGTAGTGTTATGGTAGGTAGTGTTTGTTATGGTAGGTAGTGTTATGGTAGGTAGTGTTATGTTATGGTAGGTAGTGTTATGTTATGGTAGGTAGTGTTATGGTGGTGTGTTATGTTGGTAGTGTGTGTTATGGTAGGTAGTGTTATGTTAGGTAGTGTTATGTTATGGTGGTAGTGTTATGTTATGGTAGGTAGTGTTATGTTTGGTAGGTAGTGTTATGTTAGGTGTTAAGTGTTGGTGGTAGGTAGTGTTAGTGTTATGTAGGTAGTAAGTGGTAGGTAGTGTTATGTTATGGTAGGTAGTGTTATAAGCTATGGTAGGTGGAAAGAAGTATGGTAGGGTAGTGTTATGTTATGGTAGGTGGAAAAGCTATGTTATGGTAGGTAGTGTTATGTTATGGTAGGTAGTGTTAGTAGTAGGTAGTGTTTATGTTAGAACAAGTGGTGTCAGCGTTTCCCTTACTGGTCTCAGTATGCACAACACCTCACCCTTGTCGCTCACACCTTGAACGCGACCGCCAGGAGATCCTGAACACTCCACGCAGATACGTGCACACATTTCTGTCCCGAGGTGAATGCGCCGTAAGCGTTAATTCTTAGATTCTCTTTCAGCCTTCTGGTTTAGCCTTTCACACTCCACCATCCATCCAGCTTAACGTATAAGGATGGTCTTAGAATAAGCCTGAAAAATTGCCGTCGGCCTCACCTGGGGGCGATTACTCCACACCGCAACGCTTGGAGGGCACCACACGAGAAGGTGTCAATACTTTGGAGTTAGCGGACTGTATCAGGGGCAGACGAGCGCCAACGCCGGGGACCTGCCACCGTCCCTCCGCACTAGATGTAGCCCTCCACATGTGCAACATTCCGGTGACAGCAAAGTAGTGGTAAGTGTTTTTCCATATAACTCTCTCCCTCCACCTCCTCCTCCTCTTTTCTCCTCAGCTCGGGTTGGCAATGAGTGTGTGACCATAACAACAGTAGTGCTTGGAGGTGGACACGGAACACACACATAAGCACGACAGTTTGATAGTTTCCTTTTCCCCCTCCCCTCCCCCTCTTTGGATTTGTGCTACTCCATATATAAATTAATACAATATTATTTATCTTGATATACTGAACAGTTATGGCGACTTGGCTTCACTATAGGTTATATATTTAGGTTAGGTTAGGTTAGGTTAGCGCCAGGGTGGTTAATCTTCAGGTGATATAAGCTGGGGTGAAGATTCTTCAGGTGATGCATCAGAACTAATAAATGTTGCATAGGTTAGGTCAGGTCAGGTCAGGTCAGGTTCTTCACTCACCAATTACCAAGACAAAACAACACACGAAGCCCTGAATTATCTACGGCAGCGAGGGCGAAGCTTCGAACCTACAGGAAGGTAAATTCAGCCCGTGTATCAGGCGTAAATTACAGGATCAGTTGGGTATCAGGTGGTATCCAACTCCGTGTGTGTGAGCGGCCATTGCCTGATCCCTAAAGATCAACAATTGTGTTACAAGGGCTGGAGACTTACTCGGTCAGGGTTCGGGATCAAGGGTTCGAATCCGGTTTGTTTCCGTGTTTATATTATTACCGACGCGGCTTGTAATGTGTTCTCCGATAATATCTGATCATGTGAATTTAGGACAACAAACGCGTGGTTAGCTTAGGATTAGGTCAAGTAAGGTTAGGTTAGGTCAAGTAATAGGTTGGAAGTTGTTAGGTTAGGTCAGGTCAGGTTTGGTTAGATAAGGTTAGGAATTAACAACGCATTCAATATTGACAGGATTTGGACCCGTGTATGATCTCTAGGTCAGGTCAGATTAGGTTATGTTAAGCTAAGGTAAAAGGTAAGGTAAGGTAAGGTAAGGTTAGATTAGGTTAGGTTAAGTTAGGTCAGATTATGTTAGGTTAGGGAATCAACAAAGCGTTCAATATTGACGGGATTAGACCCGTGTGTTAGGGTCAGGTTAGGTTATGTAAGTTAAGCTAAGTAAGGTAAGGTTAGATTAGGTTAAGTTAGGTCAGATTATGTTAGGTTAGGAATCAACAAAGCGTTCAATATTGACAGGATTTAGACCGTGTAAGTTTAAATTGGGTTCGTTCTCGTGTGTTATACTTTACGGCCAACTATAAACGCTCAACTTTACGACCGAAAGCTTGAACGGAATAAAATAAAACGAATCAGAAAGGAGAAAATAGCGATAAAACCTTAATTAATATTCACATACATTTGTTCATAACCAGATATAGTATTGCTTGCACTTTAATTGCACGTGTCAAGGCATGGTAGAGCGTACAAGGTAGTGAGCAACGAAACAAGGAAATCTACGATGAATTTACAACTGACATCACTAAATCACAGCTGACATCACTATATCACAATTGACGTCACTAAATCACAGTGACATCACTATATCACAATTGACGTCACTAAATCCACAGCTGACATCACTATATCCACAATTGGCGTCACTAAACACAGCTGACATCACTATATCCACAACTGACGCCATTATATTCACAAAAACATCACTAAATTCACAACTGACATCACTATATAAACAATTGACGTCACTAAATCCACAGCTGACATCACTAGATTCACAACTGAAGCCCTAAATCCACAACTGACGTCACTATAACCACATCTGACATCACTATATCCACAATTGACATCACTATATCCAAAACTGACATCAACAGTAAAAATTTAATACAAAATAATATCTAAACATAAAAAATTAATAGCCACGAAATTACTCAGATTTTTAGGCGTTACCAAAATACTACACTGTAAAGACATTAAACTAATTATATAGATAAAGTAAAATTAAATATAAACACAATTAAATATAAAACAAAATTAACTATAACACAAAATTAATTATAAAAACAATTAAATATAAACATAATTAAATATAAAACAAAATTAACTATAAAACAAAAATTAATTATAAAACAAAATTAATTATAAAGCAAAATTAAGTATAAAACAAAATTAGTTATAAAACACAATTAAATATAAAACAAAAAAATTACCAATAAACCAATTACTTGATTTAGTAATATAGAAAAAGAGCCAAACCAAACGCCTATACATCACTACCATTGGAGAGGCAATAAAACACTGCAACATGACGTATACCATTGCAACAATTCCCCACACAACTGCTTGTATTTGCAACGTGGACAAACATTTACACTATGAAACTATAACAATACAGCTATTTCAAAATACTGAACTTTTCTGTAAAACCAAAACTGATCGAAAAATACCCACGAAAAATAGGAACTAGGAGGAGGAAGAGGTGGAGATAGGGTGGAGGTGAAGGAGGAAGAGGAGAAGGAAGTGGTGGAGGAGGAGGAGATGGAAGAAAAAGGAAGAGGAGGAGGGAGACTTAGAGGATGAGATGTAGGAGATGGAGGAGAAGGTGGAGATAATAATGGTGGAGATGAGGAGAAAAAAAAAATTTATTAATGATGGATAATTATGTAAGAATCCCTTTACCAGAACGACTTGACTTTCCACCACAAAATATCACTCAAGATTTAGAATTAACTCTAACCTAATCCTAACCTTAACCTAACCTAAACCTAACCTAAGTCCCGTCCTTACATTGCTATCTCGGAGTCTGTCTTAGGGCGTGAGATGATTGGACCAATTTTAGGGCCCATGTTCCCTTGACGCTATTTCCACATATGAGGGTTTTGAGTCCGGTAGAGGGGTGTAAGTAGGTTGGGGTTAGTGTTGGTTAGGTTGGTTAGTTAAATGAGTCCGGTGGCTAGAGAGGTTAGCAGTGCTCTGTAAAGTCAGGTTCCAGTGTTTCAGGGTCCTAGTATTTCAGGGTCCTAGTGTTTCAAGGTCCTAGTGTTTTCAGCAGTTCTAGAGTTTCAAGGTTCCACAGTTCCAGGGTTCCACAGTTCCAGGGTTCCACAGTTCCAGGGTTCCACAGTTCCAGGGTTCCAGTTCCAGGGTTCCACAGTTCCAGGGTTCCTTAGTGACGCTTAGTAGAGATTTTTAAATTATTTTTTTGTGCAAATTGTACACGTGTTGATGATTATAGAAACGAACTGAGTTTTCATTCCGCTTCCGTTTTCAGACCCGTTTGTTGTTTGGTGTTTACAGACCGTTTGACCCTCACCCCACTGCCAGAAACCATAAGACATCTCCTCATAAACCAAACGCTCCGATATTTACAGAGAAAAGAGTAGCCATCTCAGGACCATTTTCCAGGAAGGTATACATCTTTTCCAGACTTCTGGAGGCATGAATATGAGTTGCCGTGTAAAACAGTCTTCCAGCCAATTTCCAGACGTGCTGATGATTGTAGGAACATGAGGGTTTTTCTCCCTGACGTCGGCGGCGGGGAAAAAAGACGTGCACACTTGTTTTGTCGGTGTTTACGACCTCGTAAAAAAGCGACGGAGATCCAAGGAATTTCCCATCTAGAATTTTTTGATTAAGGACCCCCCAGTGGTGGTGGCTCGCTAAGTGAAAGTGATGAGCATTTTCTACTGAAAGTGACCTTAAGGGCCATGGCCCCTTATGTGATTTTAAGGGCCATGGTTCCTAGTGTGTAGGACCATGGCTCTTTATTTCACCATAAGGCCCATGGCTAAGTATGTAACCTTAATGGCTATGACTATTTCACCTTGAGGGCCATGGCTCTTTATTTCACCCCAAGACCCATGGCTCCTTATATAACCTAAAGGGCCATGACTATTTCACGTCGAGGGCCATGGCTCTTAGTAACATAGGCCATGGCCGCATAGGTGAAATCAAGGACCATGGCTACTTAATGTGACCTTAAGGGCCATGGTTCCATATATAACCTAAGGGCCATGGCTCCGCTATATAACCTTAAGGCCATGGTTCTCATATAACCTAAAGGGCCATGGTTCTTATATAACCCATGGGCCATGGCTCTTTAGGGATAGGGTGGTTATTCTTCAGGTGATTCACTTATTGATATGGAGGTGATCAAAAAGTCATTATTATTATTATTATTATTATTATTATCCAATATATCAGTATCATTACACAAGTTACCCACATCACAACAGGTAACAACACACAGGTAACATCAACACAGGTGACATCAACACACAGGTAACAACACACAGGTGACATCAACACACAGGTGACATCAACACACAGGTGACATCAACACACAGGTGACATCAACACACAGGTAACAACACACAGGTTAACCACAACACCTAACCTAGCTATCCCCAACGTCACCATGTTATATATAAATTAGATTCTGAATTTGATGTTACCCCAAACACACATTCATTCGGGTCTGGATCAGTGATTTTATTTCCCTCTCTTTATTGGTTAATATATTGAAATTGCTAATGACCATTGGGTGTTGATGAAAGGGGCAATCATTAGTATTTTGTGTGGCCATAGGAGTCAAATTAACATATTCAATTACGGGTTTATTGTCCCAGCCATTTTGATCATTCGCTTGATAATTACCTGACCAATTTGTATTATTATATATATATGTTAAATGATAAATATAACTTAAATGTAAAATGTAAATATCTGTAAATAATGTAAATATGTAAAAAATATAAAACATCTTATTTACTTATATATATTTAAATGATAAATATAACAAAAATTTTTTAAATATCAGTAAACTAAAACATATAATTCAAATATCTGTAAAATCTGTAAATCACGTAAATATGTAAAATAAGTAAAAAATATAAATAAAATATTATTTAATTCTTGTTTCATTGCTAATTTTGTAATATTATCATCCTTAGTCGTCCTCATCACTACAAAATAACAAATCTCCATTTTTTCCCCTAAACCCGTATTTAATAGATATGCTTCTCTAATTTCCCTAAACCCGTATTTAATAGATATTGTTCTCCCTATTTTCCTTTAAACCCGTATTTATTAAATTTTTCTCCCCATTTTTCCCCTAAACACGAATTTATTAGACTTTCTCCCTATTTTCCCCTAAACACGAATTTATTAGACATTTCTCCCTATTTTTCCCCTAAACACGAATTTATTAGACATTTTCTCCTATTTTCCCCTAAACGAATTTATTAGACATTTCTCCTATTTTTCCCTAAACACGAATTGATTTGACATTTTCTCCTATTTTTCTAAACACGAATTTATTAGACATTTTCTCCCTATTTTTCCCCTAAACACGAATTTATTTGACATTTTCTCCCTATTTTTCCCTAAACACGAATTTATTAGACATTTTCTCCCTATTTTCCCTAAACACAATTTATTAGACATTTTCTCCTATTTTTTCCCTAAACACGAATTTATTAGACATTTTCCCTAACATCTCGCCATTCATTTTTTTGCTTTGTTAACCTTTTCACTCGCGTTCATTAGTTAATGGAGATCAGCACAGTTGCAATACTTTCCCTCCCAGATTGAAAGCAAAAGCTGATTGGCTGAGATGTAATGTTGGTCACTGTTGATTGGCTGCCGTAGTTTTAGTGTCTGTGTTGTTATTTAGTGAAAAGATGTTGAGAACCCAGAGAGCTTAGGTCGAGGTTGTGTACGTATCCTACTATACGTGTGTGTTGCTGTGTGCGTTTTACTTGCATACATACATACACTAAGACAAATACACACATATACAAATTCCAAAAAACAATTAAAATAAATACAATAAGTAAATAAAAAAAAATATAGAACGGAAATAAAACAGAAACGACAATAATTATAAATAAATAAATAACTCAAGAATTCAAATAAATCTGACCAAAAAACAAAAAAAAAAATGACTAGCATCCTCACTACTTCCCTCCCTCCTTCCTTCATTCTCTCCTTCCTCCTTCCCTCTCTTACAAGACTAAATGTGAGAGTGTGTGGCCAGAACATGCGGCCACACACTCCTGCTCTCACTCAGTCGTCAACAAGTCTTCCTCTCCAGTGTGTGGCCAGACATGCGGCCACACACCTCCTTCTCCTCAGTCGTCAACAAGTCTTCCTCTCAGTGTGTGGCCAGACATGCGGCCACTCCTACCAGTCGTCAACAAGTCTTCCTCTCAGTGTGTGGCCAGACATGCGGCCACACTCCCTCTGCAGTCGTCAACAAGTCTTCCTCTCAGTGTGTGGCCAGACATGCGGCCACACACTCCTCACCAGTCGTCAACAAGTCTCCTCTCAGTGTGGCCAGACATGCGGCCACACTCCTGCTCTCACGCAGTCATCAACAAGTCTCCCTCTCAGTGTGTGGCCAGACATGCGGCCACTCCTCACAGTCGTCAGCAAGTCTTCCTCTCAGTACAGAACCAAACACTGTACAGGAAACACTGTAACATTCAGTGCCATAATATCCTGACTACTGTGGGACTGTTGTAATGGCCCCTTGTGAACTATTGTAATCCTTGTTGCTACAGTTCACAGAATATGCAGTGCACGATTAACTGGCAGCTGTAAGTGGTACAATAAAAAATAAAAAAATTCCTCTCCTCTCACGTACTCCCTCCTGACCCCTCCTCTCCTCCCTGCCCCCTCCTCTCGCCCTCCTGCCCCCTCTCCCCCTCTGCCCCCCCCTCCTCTCCCTCCTGCCCCCCTCACTGCCCCCCTCCCCTCGCCCTCCCTGCTCCACCTCCCTCTCCCTCCCTGCCCCCCCCTCCCTGCCTCCCTCTCTCCCCTCACTGCCCCTCCTCTCCCCTCACTGCCTCCCTCTCTTCCCCCACTACCCTCCCTCTCCCCTCCCCCCCCTCCCTCTCCCTGCCCCCTCATCTCCGTTCCCAGTAGCAAAATAAAACTCCCGGAACGAATAAAACCCAAAACTCTCGCTGCTTAATGAGAACAGCAAGTTCCTTCACCCTGACGGAGTAGGGGCTTATAGTATGTATGTGTATGTGTTTATAGTGTGTATGTGTATGTGTTAATAGTATGTATGTGTTGTGTGTATGTGTATGTGTATGTGTTAATAGTATGTATGTGTATGCGTTTATAGTATGTATGTGTATGTGTTAATAGTATGTATGTGTATGTGTTAATAGTATGTATGTGTATGTTTAATAGTATGTATGTGTATGTGTTAATAGTATGTATGTGTGTGATTATAGTATGTATGTGTATGTGATTTATAGTATGTATGTATGTGTTTATAGTATGAATGTGTATGTGATTTATAGTATGTATGTGTATGTGATTATAGTATGTATGTATGTGTTTATAGTATGTATGTGTATGTGATTATAGTATGTATGTGTATGTGTATAGTATGTATGTGTATGTGATTATAGTATAATGTATGTGATTATAGTATGTATGTGTATGTGATTATAGTATGTATGTGTATGTGATTATAGTATGTATGTGTATGTGTTTTATAGTATGAATGTGTATGTGATTATAGTATGAATGTGTATGTGATTATAGTAATAATAATAATAATAATAATTAACGGTTTTATTGAAGAGCTTGGCAGCAGAAGGCTGAAAATATACAGTTACATATTTAGGGAATGGGTTGCAATTACAAATAATATACAAGTGACACAAATAAGACATATAATAACTTAGAAAGGGATCAGCTCAAACTACAGTTCATTTCAACATAGTGACAGTGTGAGGAGCAGTGTTTACTGGGAGTGAATACACTGATTTATTACATGTTATTGATAATTTTTACAATGGTTGGGACTGGGCTGTTCTTATAGCGATCAGTTCGTGCACGTATGGGCTGGATGCGGTTGTGGTGTCGAACAGCAATTCTCGGACAGGGATCTCAGGTGGTAGTAGGGGCCGGTGTCGGGGATGGTGTGGCTTCTTACCAAATTTGCAGATGAGGCCGTGGTGATGGTCAGTGAGTCAGGGTCAGTGTGTTGAGCGCTTCTTGATATGGAGTAGGAAGGAGAGAATAATCTTGCATGCCCTCTTTTGCACTTTCTAGGTGTTTACGTTGTGTGGCATTTGGGAGGAAGACCAGGTGGGGGAGGCATAGGTGAGCTTAGGAGTATGAATGTTGTGTATACACTGAGGCTCGTGTGCAGGA